TTCTCTCTCAGATACACTTATTTATTTTTAATCCTTCTCCATTCCAATAATAAAATAAAATTTTATGTTCTGGTCAGGCATCATCGATAGAAACAAAAATGGAGAATCACAATAAAATTAAAAAACCTATGTACTATTATTGTTGGACTTTACTAACTGTTGGGTGACTTAAAATTTTGGTGGGAATCGTATTTCATTGTGAAAATTAATGAGATACTTCGAAGAAACGTAAGGGCCACTATAATTTCCACTAATAATTATTTTTAGTTTATATTTTTACTTTAAATATATGAACCAAATTTAATTTCACAGCTTATTACTAACATTTACTATTCCGATATTTCATCAGAACCAAAACATGTTTATTTAAGATTTATTTAAAAAATAAATAAACTATTAAGTGTTTGTATGTATGGTTCGTTTCCAGTATTTTTAAGATTTCTGTAAACAAGTATGGCGGAATCACGAGTAACCTTATATAACTTAAGACGTCATTAATATCACTCTTAGATAAAAGAGACCAGAGATATAACATACACCGGTGTTTAACCTGCGCAAATGTTGCCAATTTCTAAAGAAAGGTTAACGGAGTGGGGGAACTGTGCAGAGACCCAAACTCTGTGACAAGGACCGGACTTTGTTTATTAGCATCATAATAAACTATTAGATTTATTTAAAATATATGTTTAATGGAATTTTGTATTATGAAATAAAATCAACGTGATTTTTTAATATCAAACAGATGCACGACATTTTATGTAAAAAGAAGACATTTTATAGAATATTTCGTTAGCGTTTATTTACTATGGACTTTTCAGAAATAGAATATTGTTAATAGAGCAAGAAATGGTACTCATTGTCTACGAGTATTATAAAAAAGCATGTGCGCAGGCGAATACTGCAAATCAAACCTTTTGAGTCAAACATTATATTTTTTCTACGGCTATTACATAATATTAAAAATTAGTCAAAATAAGAAAATGCTGTTTTGTATTGTAACCTCAGCTTCTTTCTTTAGGAATATTAATTAATATAGAAGATGAGTGATTGTCGAAATAAATAATCGATCATTGAAAATAATCGATTATTTTCGATCAATCCATTGTTTTCAATCTATTTGTTTGTCGTATTTCCTTTAAAATAGACTACTTGATTATCTTTGAAAAATAAAAAATAATCGATTAATTAAAAAGCCAATTAACCGATACATCAGTGTTTACAAAAAATTATCGTTTATTTTAAATAATCGATTATTTTCAAATAATCCATTTTTTTTCGACCATTGAAATAGATTATTCGATAATCTTTGAAAAATCGAAAATAATCAATTAATTAAAAAGTCGATTAACTAATAAATCGATTTTCAAGAAAAACAGAATTGTCCATTATTTTAAATAATTGATTATTTTCGATCAATCGATTATTATCAATAATTTATTTTTATTGTATTTCATTTAAAATCGATAATTCGATTATCATTGAAATACCGAAAATAATCGATTAATTAAGTAGCCGATTCTACGATAAATCTATTTTCCAAAAAAATAACCGAATTATCGATTATTTTCTAATAATCCTTTTCATATTTCCTTTAAAATTGATTATTCTATTATCTTTGAAAAATCTAAAATAATCGATAAAAATCAATAAATCGAAAATAATAATTATTAAAAAACTGATTAACCGATAAATCGATATTTCTAAAAAATAACCAAAATATTGGTTATATAAAATAACCGATTATATTCGATCAATCGATTATTTTCATATACCTTTGAAAATTCGAAAGTAATCGACTAATCGAAAATAGTCGATTATTATCAATAATTTATTTTTATTGTATTTCATTTAAAATCGATGATTAGATTATCATTGAAATACCGAAAATAATCGATTAGTTAAGAAGCCGATTCTACGATAAATCTATTTTCCAAAAAAATAACCGAATTATCGATTATTTTCTAATAATCCTTTTCATATTTCCTTTAAAATTGATTATTCTATTATCTTTGAAAAATCTAAAATAATCGATAAAAATCAATAAATCGAAAATAATAATTATTAAAAAACTGATTAACCGATAAATCGATATTTCTAAAAAATAACCAAAATATTGATTATATAAAATAACCGATTATATTCGATCAATCGATTATTTTCATATACCTTTGAAAATTCGAAAATAATCGATTAATCGAAAATAATCGATTCATTAAAACACCGATTAAACGATAAATCGATTTTTCAAAAAAATCGATTATTTTCAATCAATCGATTATTTTGAATAAATCTACTTTCTTTTTGTATTTCCTTTAAAATCGATTATTACATTATCTTGAAATTTTAAGTTATTCATCTTGTATTTTATCTAATATTCTTATAAAAATATTACTAATCAACTATGCTTCTTTACTTCTTATTTATCTACCAAAAAGAGCTAAAAACCACCTTTAGTAAATATTCTTATAAAACTACATTTTAAAAACAAAATTTCGTTAGCAACAATGTCTGTTTACTTCTTATTTAAATTAAATATTTAAAATTTTATCCTTTTGTAAATTTATGTAATACGAAATCTGTTTTCTGAAATATGTATTTGATGAATATTATTGAAACCCCTTAATGCGGATCTGAAGTATTCAGCCCAGAGAATCATGGCGCTTTATGTCAAAACGTTAATAAATATTTACCGCTGAAAACGAATATATTTTTTATATTTCATAACATTGGTACTTGTATTATAAGTATATACAATTTCTCAAGATACATCGTGGCATTTTGAGTTTAAAATTGAATAACTAAAACACTTTAAATTGCTAAAACACCAACAAATAAATCAAAAAACAGCTGTCAATGGTGACTGAACTCAGGTGGAGGTGAGCGTTGAATGGGAAATCGGAGCAATTCGGGTGGCGTCGTGCAAACAATGATTTTCAATTGGTGGGTTACTTGGAGTTAAAACAGACAACATGCGCAGTGTGCAATGTTACATCTTCGGTCTCTTTTATCTAAGATATCACTAAAAGTAATATTATATAACTGGTAGTAACAATATATATCTCATAGTTGCAATATAAAACTTAACAACCTATAAAATTCCTTTATATAATTTGTAGTAACACTTGTTACCATAATGAAACCAAAACGGCAATTCATTTCTTTCAAACGTGATTTAAAAGTTAACAATTAACCTCCGTCCACGAGCATCCATAACCTGAAATTATTAAATTATCTCCACTATGTCTTTCAAAATAGTGCAAACTAAAAAACTAAGGGGCCTCTACTTAAAATTGTCCCATCAGCTTGGGAAAAGGATGGCACTCTTATTTATTGGCCTCCTGCCAAAAAAAAAAAATAACAAATACAATTACAAATGAGATACATAGTTATATTAGAATAATTTGTATTACTGATGGTTGCAAAGTTTTATAAAAGAGGCGATATAATAACCAATAGTTTTATAAGAAATATAGTCAACACCACTTCCTACCAGTTTTTATAAAGGTAATTTACGACACCATTAAAAAACTCAAGGTGTTTTAGTTATATAACTAGAGTTACGGTAACCCATATGTCACCTTTTTATGAAACCACTAGTAACCGTTACTTAAAGTTTTATAAAATGGTGATGAAAATAGTTCTGTTACTTTGTTATACATCCATAACTACTAGTAATGTTATAAAACCGTTATAAAACCATTATAAAACCTGGTTACCAAAAAATACAGGCTATACAACTCCGAAACTCTCTTATATAAATTTGTTACTATTATATATCTATTATAAAAATTCGGGTTACGGTAAATGTTTATTGGGTCATTTGACAGTTGCAGATTTCCAAATGTATCTGGATTGGCGTTATCATATGCCTTTAAAAAGCAATAAAAAGAAAAATCATCTAATTCAACGTGATCTTTGTTATATTTAAGACATATTTAGATCTATCTAACCTAACCATAGGTGTATTTTCCTATGAAAAAAATACACCTATGGTTAGGTTAGATAGATATTTACATCTATCTAACCTAACCTTAGGTGGACTGCAATTCAAATTAGGTATTTTTTTCATAGGGAAATCCACCTAAGGTTAGGTTAGATAGATGTAAATATCTATCTAACCTAACCATAGGTGTATTTCCCTATGAAAAAAATACACCTATGGTTAGGTTAGATAGATATTTACATCTATCTAACCTAACCTTAGGTGGATTTCCTTATGAAAAAAATACCTAATTTGAATTGCAGTCCACCTAAGGTTAGGTTAGATAGATGTAAATATCTATCTAACCTAACCATAGGTGTATTTTTTTCATAGGGAAATACACCTATGGTTAGGTTAGATAGATCTAAATATCTAGGTATTTAGATCTATCTAACCTAACCATAGGTGTATTTCCCTATGGTTAGGTTAGATAGATCTAAATATTTAGATCTATCTAACCTAACCATAGGTGTATTTTCCTATGAAAAAAATACACCTATGGTTAGGTTAGATAGATATTTACATCTATCTAACCTAACCTTAGGTGGACTGCAATTCAAATTAGGTATTTTTTTCATAGGGAAATCCACCTAAGGTTAGGTTAGATAGATGTAAATATCTATCTAACCTAACCATAGGTGTATTTCCCTATGAAAAAAATACACCTATGGTTAGGTTAGATAGATATTTACATCTATCTAACCTAACCTTAGGTGGATTTCCCTATGAAAAAAATACCTAATTTGAATTGCAGTCCACCTAAGGTTAGGTTAGATAGATGTAAATATCTATCTAACCTAACCATAGGTGTATTTTTTTCATAGGAAAATACACCTATGGTTAGGTTAGATAGATCTAAATATTTAGATCTATGGTGTATTTTTTTCATAGGAAAATACACCTATGGTTAGGTTAGATAGATCTAAATATTTAGATCTATCTAACCTAACCATAGGTGTATTTTCCTATGAAAAAAATACACCTATGGTTAGGTTAGGTAGATATTTACATCTATCTAACCTAACCTTAGGTGGATTTCCCTATGAAAAAAATACCTAATTTGAATTGCAGTCCACCTAAGGTTAGGTTAGATAGATGTAAATATCTATCTAACCTAACCATAGGTGTATTTTTTTCATAGGGAAATACACCTATGGTTAGGTTAGATAGATCTAAATATCTAGGTATTTAGATCTATCTAACCTAACCATAGGTGTATTTCCCTATGAAAAAAATACCTAATTCCTAACAAGCGATGAAAGTGAAGATGAAGATTACTATGAGTACTGAAAAGAATAACTGGAAATGAATCCAAAGGGTGAATGAAACACAGATGAGGAGATTTTGAAACATTGAAAAAATTTCGCTCTGGATGGGATTCAAACCCACAATCTTCAGAATACCAATAATAATGAACACAATTACTTATAGATTAATTCAACAAATCCAAATAAACAAATTTAGAAGTTTCCTCCACCACTGGATCTCATTTAAACATATTTTAATCCTATCTCCGACCTCGTACTAATTCTATCGAAATATTTCCCTTTACTTCTTCCTTTTTTTTAAAAGGAAGTAACAGTCGTAATATTATAAATAGTAAACATAAAATTATACCACCATCAACTTTACTTCTTCTCCTAATTCTATCATGATAATATTTACTTTTACTCCTTTTAACCATTCTCCCATTCTTCTATTAATTCTACATAAAACAAAGCTTACGACTTGCACTTTTTAAAACTGTTAAATTGTAACTCTAGATTAGGAAAAAGAAAAAAAATATATTTAATCAACAATTATTTTAATACTACATCATTCAATTGGCAAAATTATGTACGTTATTATTGCGAAACAAAATAGATTTTTATAAATAATATTCACAAAATAAATATTTCATTCTGTATTTAGAGAATTGCAAAAAAAAAGAAACAAAAATTTACAGCGATTACCTATAAATAAATATATCAATTTTTTAAATTAATAATATATTGTTGCATTTATATTTTTAATCACATTTAAATATTTAATATTCTAGTGAAATTTTACTTAATTCCACTTATTCAATAGACTAGACAGATATTTTAAACTTTTAATGGATTTAATATCAATCAAAATTAAAAATTAAAAACGAATTCGCTTTCTCCAAACTTTTTTTTCTACATAATTCAATTAAAATAAAAATTCCAAGAGATCAAAACACTGACACGAAAGGGTGGTAATTATATTATCGAAAATACATTCAGGCGCTGGTTTTAGTAATAAATAAAAATGGTTCATTTATCTGGAACACGCTCCGGTACAAATGGATTGAACTTCGTCGGAAACGTAAACGATTCTCATTGTATTGGTGTAGCCTGATCCTTGTTTCCATCCGGTGACTACGATAATCGAATCTCCGGCTCTGATGAATCCTTGAACTTTACCGTATCTGATACCGAAGTTTAGTCTGGCGTCTACGTCTCTTAGCCAGTCGTCTAAGCGACTAGCTAAAAATAAAAACAAGTATTAGAAATTGAAAAAAAAAAAACAAATTTATATGGGACCTAACAAAAAAAGAATCATTGAAATCGGACACCGTGTTAAAGAATTATTACTGAACATACATAAAAAATTGTGACAAATCGATGAAGTCTGTTAAAACTTGTAAATATTTTAACCGGTAGATCACAAAGAATTCGAGACAAAAGAGTTATTATAAACGATTCAATTCTCTTAAAAAAAGTTCTTAAATTTTAATCAGTAGACTCCTCAAAAGTACAATTAAACAATCAAAATCACGTGACTTTAAATGGTGACGCTAAACTGCAACATATACCATAAATACCCGCTTTGCCTTCAAATTCCATGACTGTGATTACCGGTGATTATATCTCAGCAAAGAAAATGTATTTTTCAAACAAACATTTTATTTCTTTAAGTAATTTGTAGGTTATTTAAAAAGACAAATTTCTAACTCTTCTCGATCCTTCTGCTCAGAGAACATTGAGCTCGCTTTATGTTCTGGCTCCAAAGTGAAACAAACACATGTTATGTATTAAAACCTTACCTTTAAATAATTATTTACGATGCCCATATCATCGAATTTCTTTAGTTCTTGTTCAGATCGATTATTTTTATTAAATGTCAGTCAACGACGGAACACGATAACTGACAAATTCATATGTCGTTCCATTTCTAGTTCCGAGTTCCAAATAATAGTAACTCCGTCACAGAAGAAAAAACCAATACAGAAAAGAAACATAGAGCTACTTCCACCACAGATATACTCTGAGAAAACGTAACTATTCATCTAGCTATATGGTGTACTGTGAAACGTTTTCTCTAAATATTTCTGTAGTGGAATTTGCCCTAAGTTTCTTTTCTGTATCGTTCTCTATTCTGTGGTCCTTGTGAACTAGCCATATTATGTTTCTTTTCTGTATTATTCTCTGTTCTGTGGTTTTTGTGAAGTAAATTTTTTTTCTGTATTGTTACTATTCTGTGGTTCTAGAATAGGAAAACAATACAGAAAAGAAACATAAAACTAGTTTACAAGGACAACAGAATACAAAAAAGAAACATTCACAAAAACCACAAAATAAAAAACAATAAAAAAAAACGTAGGACTAATTTACAAAAACCAGAATAGAGAATAATACAGAAAAGAAACATAGAGCTAGTTCAGAACAAGGACCACAGAATAAAGAATATTACAGAAAAGAAACATATAGCTAGTACAGAAAAGAAACATAGAGCTACTTCAGAACAAGAACCACAGAATAGAGAATAATACAGAAAAGAAAGAGAGCTAGTTCAGAACAAGGACCACAGAATAGAGAATACAGAAAAGAAACATAGAACTAATTCAGAACAAGGACCACAGAATAAAGAACAATACAAAATAGAGAATAATACAGAAAAAAAAAACATAGAACTAGTTCACAAAGATAAAAAACTAGAAAACAATATAGAAAAGAAACAGGACTAGTTCATTAGGACCACAGAATAGAGAATAATACATAAAAGAAACAGGGCTAATTTACAAGAATCACAAAATAGAAAGTAATACAGAAAAGAAACATAGAGCTAGTTCAGAACAAAGACCACAGAATAGAGAACAATACAAAATAGAGAATAATAGAGAAAAGAAACATAGAACTAGTTTACAAGGACAACAGAATAGAGAAAAGAAACAGGACTAGTTCACAAGAACCACAGAATAGAGAACAATACAAAAAAGAAACGTAGAACTAATTTAGAAGAACCACAGAATAGAGAATAATACAGAAGAGAAACAGGGCTAATTTACAAGAACCACAGAATAGAAAACAATACAGAAGAGAAACAAGGCTAATTCATAAGAACCAAAGAATAGAGAATACAAAAAAGAAACATTGAACTAGTTCACAAGAACCACAGAATAGAGAACAATACAGAAAAGAAACGTAGAACTAATTTACAAGAACCACAGAATAAAGAATAATACAGAAGAGAAACAGGGCTAATTTACAAGAACCACAGAATAGAAAACAATACAGAAGAGAAACAGGGCTAATTTACAAGAACCACAGAATAGAAAACAATACAGAAAAGAAACAAGGCTAATTTATAAGAACCAAAGAATAGAGAATACAAAAAAGAAACAGAACTAGTTCACAAGAACCACAGAATAGAGAACAATACAGAAAAGAAACGTAGAACTAATTTACAAGGACCACAGAATAAAGAATAATACAGAAGAGAAACAGGGCTAATTTACAAAAACCACAGAATAGAAAACAATACAGAAAAGAAACGTAGAACTAATTTACAAGAACCACAGAATAGAGAATAATACAGAAGAGAAACAGGGCTAATTTACAAGAACCACAGAATAGAAAACAATACAGAAAAGAAACGTAGAAGTAATTTACAAGAACCACAGAATAGAGAATAATACAGAAGAGAAAAAGGGCTAATTTACAAGAACCACAGAATAGAAAACAATACAGAAGAGAAACGTAGAACTAATTTACAAGAACCACAGAATAGAAAACAATACAGAAAAGAAACATAGGGCTCATCAGGTCTGCCAGATTCAGTACGTTTGTATTGAATTAAGTACTTTTTCATCTTTTTCAGTACGTTAGTGTTACGTTGTTAGTTTTATTACGTTTTTGTTAAAAATTGTCAATTCAGTACTATTTTGACATTTTTTTGAATAAAGTGACGTACTTTACTAACAATGGGTGACAGTTGACAGTTAAATCATATGATGAGTCAAATAATTTATTTGAAATTGAAATTTATTGCACGTTTGTTGGTTGTAATTCTGATAGTAAAATGGCTTAAGACTTTTTTTTATTATACATAAAAATTATATAATTTAATAAACTTGTTTCATTTGTTTTTATAGGATAAAATTTTTCTATAAAAGTTATTTAATAATTAATGAATTTTAAATCTCCAGCCATTTTTAAGGTGTTCTATTTAGGTATTGGTACACTTTCATATACTTTTTTTTTAAATCTGTTATTCAGTACGTTTTTTTTTTAAATTCAGTACATTTTAAAATGTTTTTAAGTACGATTTGTCATTTTCATTCTGACAGCTCTGGGGCTAATTCACAAGAACCACAGAAGAGAGAACAATACAGAAAAGAAACAGAGTTACTTCCACCACAGATATACTCTAAGAAAACATAACTATTCATCTAGCTCTATGGTGTACTGTGAAACGTTTTCTGTATTTCTGTAATGGAATTAGCCCTATGTTTCTTTTCCGTATTGTTCTCTATTTTGTGGTCCTTGTGAACTAGCCATATTATGTTTCTTTTCTGTATTATTCTCTATTCTGTGGTTTTTGTGAAGTAACTCTATATTTCTTTTCTGTATTGTTCTTTATTCTGTGGTTCTAGAATAGAGAACAATAAAGAAAAGAAACGTAGGACGAATTCACAAGAACCACAGAATAGAAAACAATACAGAAAGGAAACGGGGCTAATTTACAAGAACCACAGAATACAGAACAATACAGAAAAGAAACACAAGGCTAGTTCCATCACACAGATACTCAGAAAAAACGTTTCACAGTACACCACAGAACTAGGTATACTATGAATAGTTACGTTTTCTCAAAGTATATCTGTAGTAGAAGTAGCTCTTATGTTTCTTTTCTTTATTTTTCTCTCTTCTGTGACTCCGCAAGAGAGCGATTTTAAGTCGCATTCGCTGTACAAGACACGTTCGTTTAACTGTGGGATTTTGTATCGATTTTTGTCAGGAGCAACTTCCAAATGAAGTTGTGTTGTATATAGATATAATTCGTAAATAGTCTCTAAGATATGTACTAGTAAAGTCTTAAGGAACCCACTCCAGGCGAGAGAGAAGACACCGTGGGAGATTTGTTGGTTACCGTGTTTCTAACATGTGAAGAAAGGCAGAAAACCTCAAAGTTTGTATCGGATTGAAATATTTATTTTATAAAACCATCGAATTATATCATCATCGATGATTTCATTTAGATTTAACATTCCTGAAGAAAAGGAAAAAAAAAGTCACGTAATCTATGAAAATAACAAGGATGATTTGCAGAGAGCGCTTGGAAAAGATTATGCTGTAATTTTAATTGAGAAAACTGGCATTTTAAAATATCATTAGACAATACAGAATCAATCGATAGTGATGATGAATAATGAAGAGAGTGACGAGAAATGAAGAGAGTGATGAGAAATGAAGAAAGTGATAACAAATGAAGATAAACCCAATGAGATGATTACCAAATATATTTTTTTATTATTATTTTATGTATATTTATAATAAAAAGTCATTATTTATATGTAACAACTAATTCTGAGCCCCGGTATACAAACTTGCACTTTTTTTAAATGTAATTTTGAAATAATGTTACCAAATAGTATTTATGTAATGTGTATTGAAATCTGAAGAGAGTGATGAGAAACCATCGAATTATCCTATTAAAGAGGATTTTACATTTTACTCCCGGTTTTAATTGTGGAAGAATGAGTATATGATATTTTTTTTTTGGCCCAATCCACACCCATTAAAGGGATTGATAGACATGAAAATTGTGACTATAACTAATTTTAATATATTGTGTAATATTTAAAGTGGATTCGGTAATATACCATGAAACATGAACGGTGGATATTACTATTGAAATTTAAAAAAATGTTGTTAAAACAGTCTGAAACACACTCCACATAACTATTTAAGGTCCGCTGACAACTAAAAACTTGTTTTTTTTTACCTTAAAATCATCAAAATGTTTTGTCGTACAAACGGCTAAATAACAATATTAGTCTATCCATTTAGCAAATAAACCAAGAAAAAAATTTCGTAAACGTTAATTATTTTTCACTTATAAATGCGATGTTGCCAAACATAGTAAAGGAACCCACATATAGCTCCAAGCTAGATAAAGCCAAAATATAAATGTGTTTATGAAGACATGTATTGACGTGTAAAATATAGTTTTTTTTAACTAAATAAACGATTTTTATTAAAAATATTGTAACTTACTGTCATAGATCAACGGTAGAACAGCTCTATATAACATGGCCTGTCTCGCGGTTTGAGCGTTACGCGTGATCGCAATGATGGGACATCTGGGTTTATATTTGGAAATGAGATGGGCCGATTTACCGGACGTCGTTATTACAATAATAGCAGAAGCCAAGCACTTGTTGGCAGCTTCGACGGTAGAAAGTGCGACGGTATTGGCCAGATCTAGAGGAACGTGCATCTAAAAGAAAAAAATCATTAAAAAATTTATTTATTTTGCCATTTTGAAATATATTAAACAGTGTCGACTATCGAACGCTTTGCAATACGCTTTGGTAATGCTATCTAAGTGAAAATTACAGAGCAGGAAACGAATAATATCAGCCTAGCCAATGTTACAACGAGGGTAGGCCATTTTAAACAATATTAACCTCATTTATTCAGTAAAAAAAAATAAAAAAATGAGAAAACCGAAAAATAGAATAAATTGAAAAAACGAAAAGTCGAAAAAAACAAAAAAACAAAAAATCAAAAAATTGAAAAATCAAAAAAATCGAAGAATCGAAAAATCGAAAAAATTGAAAAATCGAATAAATCGAAAAAATCGAAGTCGAAAAATCAAATAAATCGAAAAAAATCGAAAAATTGAAAAATCGAAAAAATCGAAAATTATTTTTATTAAATTTTAGGTATTTTTAATTAATTTTTATTGCTTTTTATCCATTTCTAATAATTTCTATTAACTTTTATTAATTTTAGTAATTTTTATTAATATTTATTAAATTTTAGTAATTTTTATTGCTTTTTATCAATTTCTATTAATTTTTATTAATTTTCACTAATTTTTATCAATTTTTATTATTTTCATCAATTTTTAATAATTTTTAATAATTTTTAATAATTTTTAATAATTTTAATAATTTTTAATAATTTTTAATAATTTTTAATAATTTTTAATAATTTTTAATAATTTTTAATAATTTTTAATAATTTTTAATAATTTTTAATAATTTTTAATAATTTTTAATAATTTTTGATAAATTTTAATAATTTTTATAAATTTTTATTAAATTTTAGTAATTTAATTATTTTTATTAAATTTTAGGTATTTTTAATTAATTTTTATTAATTTTTCATTAGTTTTTATTACTTTTTAATAATTTTTAATAACTTTTAATAATTTTTAATAATTTTTAATAATTTTTGATAAATTTTAATAATTTTTATAAATTTTTATTAAATTTTAGTAATTTAATTATTTTTATTAAATTTTAGGTATTTTTAATTAACTTTTATTAATTTTTCATTAGTTTTTAATAATTTTTAATAATTTTTAATAATTTTTAATAATTTTTAATAATTTTTAATAATTTTTAATAATTTTTAATAATTTTTGATAAATTTTAATAATTTTTATAATTTTTTTTTAAATTTTAGTAATTTAATTATTTTTATTAAATTTTAGGTATTTTTAATTAACTTTTATTAATTTTTCATTAGTTTTATTAATTTTTAATAATTTTTAATAATTTTTAATAATTTTTAATAATTTTTAATAATTTTTAATAATTTTTAATAATTTTTAATAATTTTTAATAATTTTTAATAATTTTTAATAATTTTTAATAATTTTTAATAATTTTTAATAATTTTTAATAATTTTTAATAATTTTTAATAATTTTTAATAATTTTTAATAATTTTTAATAATTTTTAATAATTTTTAATAATTTTTAATAATTTTTAATAATTTTTAATAATTTTAATAATTTTTAATAATTTAATTTTTAATAATTTTTAATAATTTTTTAATAATTTTTAATAATTTTTAATAACTTTTAATAATTTTTAATAATTTTTGATAAATTTTAATAATTTTTATAAATTTTTATTAAATTTTAGTAATTTAATTATTTTTATTAAATTTTAGGTATTTTTAATTAACTTTTATTAATTTTTCATTAGTTTTTATTAATTTTTAATAACTTTTAATAACTTTTAATAATTTTTAATAATTTTTAATAATTTTTAATAATTTTTAATAATTTTTAATAACTTTTAATAATTTTTAATAATTTTTAATAATTTTTAATAATTTTTAATAATTTTTAATAATTTTTAATAATTTTTAATAATTTTTAATAATTTTTAATAATTTTTAATAATGTTATAATTTTTAATAATTTTTAATAATTTTTAATAATTTTTAATAATTTTTAATAATTTTTAACAATTTTTGATAATTTTTAATTTTTGATAATTTTAATAATTTTTATTAATTTTGACTAATTTTTATCAATTTTTATTACTTTTCATCAATTTCTATTAATTTTTAATAATTTTTGATAATTTTTGATAAATTTTAATAATTTTTATAAATTTTTATTAATTTTTATTAAAATTTTAGTAATTTTTATTAAGTTTTGTAAATTTTTAGTTAAATTTAATTTTTATTTTTTATTAATTAATTTTTAACAAATAAATCGATTTTTCTAAAAAAATTGATTACTTTCTTTTTGTATTTTCTTTAAAATCTTTAGAAAATCGAAAATAATCGATTAATTAAAAAAGTCGATTAAACAAAAAATCGATTATTTTGAATAAATTTACTTTCTTTTTGTATTTCCTTTAAAATCTTTGAAAAATCGAAAATAATCGATTAATTAAAAAAATCGATTATTTTGAAAACATTTATATCCTTTAAATTAATTGAAAAACCGATTAATTAAAAATGCCGATTAAACGATAAATCGATTTTTCTAAAAAAATCGATTATTTTAAATAAATTTACTTTCTTTTTGCATTTCCTTTAAAATCTTTGAAAAATATCGAAAATAATCGATTATTTTAAATAATCGATTATTTTTGATCAAACGATTATTATCAAATATTCCATTTTTTTCGTATTTCCATTATTTTTGAAAAATCAAAAATAATCGATTAATTAAAAAGTTAATTAAGCAATAAATCGAATTTCTAAAAAAAAAAAATAACCGAATTATCGGTTGTTTTCAAATCTTTTTTTTTTTTTCATAATTCTTTTAAAATTAATTATTCGATTATAATTGAACAATCAAAAATAATCGATTAAAAATCTAAAATAATCGGTAATTACATTTTCGATCTCTTTAATCTAAAGAACAAACTTTAAATTATTAAAATTAAAATACTTACAGTTTCCGTTAAATCAGTATACAACTCTTTGGTCCACATCGCAGCTTCGGCCTCTCTGCAAATATTCGCCATCGTTCTCACGCATTCCAAAGGATATTTCCCTTTGGCCGTCTCTCCCGACAACATGACGCAATCGGCTCCGTCCAAGATGGCGTTGGCGACGTCCGAACTCTCCGCCCGAGTCGGTCTCGGGTTCTTTATCATCGATTCCAACATTTGCGTAGCGCAAATGACCGGTTTGCCCACTTTGTTGCAACGGGCGATCATCGCCTTTTGGGCGAGGAACACCTTTTCGGTGGGAATCTCGATACCGAGATCTCCGCGGGCCGCCATTATGCCGTCCGAGGCGTCGATGATTTCATTTAGATTTAACATTCCTGAAGAAAAGGAAAAAAAGTCACGTATTGTATTTTAAAATATCATTGGAGAAAATTAAATGTCAAGCATCTAATATAGACATTTATTTTTCTTATTACAATACAGAATCAGTCGATAGTGATGATGAATAATGAAGAGAGTGATGAGAAATGAAGAGAGTGATGAGAAATGAAGAGAGCGATGAGAAATAAAGAGAGTGATAAGAAACGAAGAGAATGATGAGAAATAAAGAGAGTGATAAGAAATGAAGAGAATGATGAGAAATGAAGAAAGTGCCAACAAATGAAGATAAACCCAATGAGTTGATTACCTAATATATTTTTTTTATTATTATTTTATGTATATTGAAATCTGATGAGTTATTTTGACATTTGAATTTTTTTTTACCTTGTTGGTTCTCAATTTTCGAGATAATCAAAATTTTCTTTCCTCCATCTCCTAGTACTTGACGAATATCTTGTAAAGCGTCCGCGTTTCTGATAAACGAAGCAAATACCATATCGACTTTTTGTTCCACACCGAATTTGAGATCGGACTTGTCTTTTTCTGATACCGCGGTAAATCTACAGGTACTCCGGGAAGATTGCAACCTATCAAATTTAATTTGTTTAAATTATAAAACATTCGCCGTTATTATCAGGTAGTTCGTACCTTTACGGCTTCCAAGCATACCGCCGTTCTCGATGGTACAAGTAAGAACGGATCCGGAAATATCATCGACAACCAGCGACATCAAACCATCGTCGAGGTAGATACGGTTACCAGGCGCTACTACTTTCTGAATATTTTCATAATCGACGTATACCATGTCTTTGGTTCCTTTGGATTCGTAGGCCTTATCGGTAGTCAATTTAATTTTGTCGCCCTTTTTGAGTTCTACTTCAGCTGAACCACCCTGTAATAGTAATTTAGAAGTTTGCAGACTACTGTGAAAAATTGTTTTCAAGCATTTTTCCATTGTCTATTTGATTTGGGAACATTTTTTATCATTCAATATTACCACAGAAAAAAGTTCACAAGAACTATATTATTCTCTCATCTATGATATCACCAAATATTGTTAAAAAAACAACAGCCGGTTGCAAGAACGTTAATTAAAATTTACTGATGTGTCCAATAAACTTTGAAAAATGTTGTATTTCGAAGTTTGTCATTCAGTCAGATCACAATTTCAAGATGTTGAAAAGTTTATCAGGCTTATAGGTTTTAATGAACATTTTTGCAACTGTCAATAATGAAATTAATGATACCTTATCTTCTACCAAAGACATGGCCAATTTTTGTAATAAATATAAATAAGTAGAAAAAAATTAATCTATAAAAAAATCTATTTTTAAAACAGGTCGACAAAAATTAAATTAACTCTGTTATCAATACCTTAAAAGAAAATAGTTGTCCTGGAATTCACCAGATAAAATCAAAATTAGTTAAAAAAAAAATATGACACCTCTTGTTCACATTCTTAATATCACTCAAAATATCAATAATTTCTCCGATATACAAAATGAGAAAAAACCGCATAACAAATTTAAAAACCATAACAAAAAATTTTTAAAAATGTTTAAAAATAAGATCGAAAGATTAACTAATAAAAAATGGTATACTAACTGAAAATAAATTTAAATGGGTTTAAATAAAACACGAGCACATGTGATGCAATTTTTTGATCTGGAAAAAGCCTTTGACATAATGGAACCTTATGATATACTCCTAAATTTTCTTGAACAATATGGATTGAGAGATAATGTGTCTAAAGAATTATCAAGGTACTACAAAAAAATGAATAGTTAAAATAAAAGACAAGCTATGTGGCCCAGGAAGTAGTAAAAATAGCGTCCCCCAATTACGATGCTGTTTTTACCGGGTTATGGTAATATCACAGCTTATACAATATACAGCTCCACAACTCCGTGTCGGCGTCTTTGATCTGGCGGTCGAGAACCAAGCAAGACGGAATGGTGCTATATCTGTTAGATTCGAGGGAAAAGTCGGGCCCGGATTAAACAATTTTTTTATTATTGAAAAAATTGAAAACCTTGGCGTAATAAGGTTGGTTACATGCCATATTAAGTAAGTTTTGGGAAATTAAATTTTTAATTTATTTTAAATCTGTCAAATATAATTAGAAACATTATTTAAATATAAATATTACGAAAAATAGCACATCTTTCGGATTAGAGGTAAAATAATTTGTATGTGGCTAGTTAATAAACGTTTTGAGCTAAAACAGTCACTTCACGACAAATTGTGGCTTGGATCCTTTTTACACCAAGGGCTTCAATTGTTAAAGAATGGGCCCGTTCACTTTCATTTTTGAATGTGAATTAATTATATATTTATAAAGATATTAAACTCTTTTGTCTGGTGATACTTTTCCCGTTAAGATATTTTTGCTAGAAGTAAGGGAATTCCCATAAAATTCTTTCAGTGACTCATTGCGTCAGAAAACCCCTAATTCCCTTCAAGTCTCGTATCGGTTAATAGTTAAAAGGGCGCGGTTGTCGGATGTATCATTGTACCACCATTCCTCTTCTGCATTTATTAAAGAAATTTACATTATAAAAATATATTATTTTTTTAAAATAATGTGTTTATATTTTCAGATAAAGCTGGAAGCCTTACCTTTTTTAAATTTTAATAAAAACAATTAGTATTACTCAAGCTGAATATTACCAGATCGAAATTTTATTTGAGAAAATGTATCTGGTAAACGTGACAACGTTGAAAGTACTTCTAAATAGTGTTGTCTACACACACTTCTAGAAATAAATGCAACGTTGCCACGTTTACCAGATAAATATTGCAAATCAAATTTCTACTTTTTGATTATGGTCTGGTTAATTTTCAGCCTGAGTAATAATAATTGTTTTAATTAAAAAAAAAAATAAGCTCCCAGCTTTAAATCTGAAAATATAACATCACGATTTTTAGAAAAATAATGGAATTGTACTATTTAAATTACATATATAAATGCAGAAATGGTATATTAGGGATACTTCCGACAACCCCGCCGTCTTTAAGCATAACCGATACGAGACGTGAACGGAATTAGGGATTTTCTGACGCAATGAGTCACTGAAAGAATTTTATGGGAATTCCCTTACTTCTAGCAAACATATCTTAACGGGAAAAATACCACCAGACAAAAGAGTTTAATATCTTTATAAATATATAATTAATTCACATTCAAAAATGAAAGTGAACGGGCCCATTGTGTCACGCTCGTGGATGCAAATCAAGTGGTACCCCGTGTCTCTGGCAAGTGTTACTCTTCGCGCAAAGGGTTTATACCTAGATAAACGAATGCTTCGACTGAGGTCTGGGAACTCTATGGTATTTTGGGAATTATAAAGAATTTGTGCTTTTATTTTAACAATATTGGTTATATTTAGATGTATTCTTATTAATTGAAATACAGATTTGTAGAAGTAATACTTTGACAGTTTTTATTAATATAATATATTCAATTTTTATCTGACCATAGCGAAGTAGGGAATTTTGAAACTTTATAGTAATGTGAAATTTGAATTACAATATTACACGATATTACATAATTAGTACTTATTTTAGGTAGGTACTAAATTTGTACTTGGAGAAAGTAATATCGATTTTTACAAGAAAACTTGAAAAGTAAATTAATTTAGTTCCTATTTCTGATGTAAAACTTAAGTTTTGGTTTAAACCAAGAAAACAAATAAATTATAGTTTGTTCAACAAGGGTGGATATGATAGCAATTTCACACAAAGACGAAGTTTGAGCACGACGTCGTATGCGGAGTACTCAATCGTCTGATTGTGATATGAACAATCCACTCGATATGGTCAGTATATTTTTTCTACGACCTACTAACGAAAATCTACAAATTTAAAAAATTATTTTAGGTTATTTAGACAAAATAACTAATTTTAAAATAATTTACGAAGTTGACTAATTTATAAAATAAAATTAACATGAAAAATTAATTAGTCCTCGGCCTAGATTCGATCCCGGGCTTTTCGCGTGGAAGGCAGATGCTCTGTCCTCATCTTCACCGAAACTTTCAGGACTTTAGTTTTAATACTCGTAATTAAATTAGTATCATGTAGTTTGATTAAAATTTATTTTTTTTTAAATGTGGACACAATAAAAACAAAAATGCTATTATTTATCGAGTCTACACAAAAATTTTAATGTATATTTAATATCAATAACTAAAATATATATTGACAATTAGTTTAACAGAATTGTCACTTATTTAAAAAAATTTAAATAATAGGAGTTGGGTGACCAAAATATGAACTGTGATTTGTAGATTTAATTTTGTTAAAGTGTTCTCACTACCTAAAATGGATATGAAATATATTCGTAGTTGAACGCAATAACATACTTTTTCGTTTTGTAGTATGTGCATAGATTGGTTAATATCCATGCACAGATTACAAAACGAAAAAGTATGCTATTGCCTTCAATTGAACGAATATATTTCATATCCATTCTAGGTAGTGAGAACACTGCAAAAAAAAATAAATTCGCCAATCACCGTTCATATTTTGATCAACCGACTGCTATTATTTTTAAAATTTTAAATAAATGACAATTCTGTCAAACTAATTGTCAGAATATTTTTTAGTTATTGAGATTAAACATACAATAAAATAAGTTATTCTTTTGGAAAACGTTAGCATGGATGACTAAAGGGTATTGGGTTAATTAATTCTAAAAGTGTAGTACAAATGTTATTTTTTGTAGCCAATTCTTCAAAATTATTTTGAAATATCTTTTCAATATTGAATATTAGTTCTACAAATTCATCATTTGACAGTTGCAGATTTCCAAATGTATCTGGATTGGCGTTATCATATGCCTTTAAAAAGCAATAAAAAGAAAAATCATCTAATTCAACGTGATCTTTGTTATATTTAAGACAGGTATCGCAGAGGAGTGGATCCGCAAGGCTTTTATTAAAAGGTAACCACACACATACCTGATAAAATTTTTCTGTATCAATTCGTCTTTACAATAATTTAGGGTGTTAATAATTTTATCATAAAATAAAATACAAGGTGTTCCATTTAAAAAACATACATTTTAATTTGCCAGGCAAAAACGTGACACCCTGTATATCCAAAGATATTTTTAAAATATGTAGGTATTTTTCAAATTCATATAACTTTTATTTAAAACTTTCTTGCGTGTCTACAACAAAATAATGAACAATAACGCACTAATGGGATACCCTGTATAAATTATATTTTTAACAATGAAAATTTCTTATAATGTGGTACTTATCGGTTTGGGTCCTTGGGAAAAGTAAAGAATGTTTTCTTGCAGGTATAACCCTTATTAAAACAGCTTTTGACTGCACAAACAGAATGATGTCTTTTTTTTCACTCATTCTACTCATAGCTAAAGAGTCACCAAAATAATAACAGTACCTTTAACTCAAACAAAATCAACAAAATTATAGGCTCCACGAAATTATACAATCAACGAAATTATACGCACGACTCAACACCTTACCTAAGTACGCTTCTGAACACCAAAACCGTCTTTTCCCTTCGAAGGCGGAGCTTAAGCGATGCGCGACGAAATCGACGCAAACCGTTGCCGCCAAGAGAGTGTTTTAGCTGTATTGTTAAGCTGTGGTAATATTATGAACGATAGAGACAGATATAGATATGTTTACAATAATTATAAGTGCAACTAAGATGGAATATACAAAGCGATACGGATGGAAACACCGTTAGTCGAGGGTAGATCACCTGCGGCTACTGTTTTATATTAATTATCATGAGTTGATTATTATAAAACATACTTTTTTTATTTTAAAACCTTGTTTGGATAATTTCCTAGTGTACATTTTTTGCTATTATTTCCTATAAAATCTGATTTATAATAAAATAAAAAAATATGATACTATTCAAATAAATATCACTACAAACTTACCCCTTCAAGCAGACCAGTACGAATTTCGGGTCCCTTAGTATCAAGAGCAATAGCCAGAGGATATATGATACCAATTTTTTTACTGTACATGTCAACTGCTTTACGAATGTTTACAATAGTTTCGGCATGGTACTCGTGAGAACCATGTGAGAAGTTCAAACGGGCGACGTTCATACCAGATTCCATCATCTTCACCAATATTTCCGGCTCTCTGGACGCAGGCCCTATTAAAATTAATTATGTTTATACTTTTAACAATGTTATGAATGTTTATTTATGATAATTAATTGTATCTAAAAAATTCACAAAGATTCTTAGAATCTTAAAGATAGAAATGTCATTATAATGAATGTCTATAGAGTTGCGCGATATTTTATTTATTTTATCTTGCTAAATTTATATTTTTTTATTAGTTTCTTAAAAGTTTTCTAAAAAATATTAACGGATAATTAGTTGGTCAATGATTATACACAAACTTTAAAAGTCCAGCTAAGACTGTTGTATTAGAAATTGTTCTAACGCTATGTATAAAAGTAAAATTTTAAATAATATCTGTGAATGCTATACCAAGGAAACAAAAAAAGGATTAATAATAATTACAAAATTTTTTAATCAGAAAATAAAAAAACTCGCAAATATATACTACTTAATTTCATCATCAGGAATCATTCACGCGGCGCCCCCTGTAAAAAAATCTGAAATAATACGTAAAATTATATTTCTTTGTGCCGATTTTGATAATTATTCATAAATATACAGTGACATCAGAAAAAAACGAAAAAAAAAAGCAACTTTAACGCCCTGCCCTGTATCTTATTTTACAGCAATATTTTATTGAGGTATATTAGTTTCTATCGCCATATTTTGGTCCAAATAACCTGCCCTTAGCCTATTCTCCAATAGTTATGAATCACCCTGTATATCTTCATTTTAGTTTTTTAATTAATATTCCCAAAATTACAAGAAATTCATGATTAAAAACAAAAACGCAAAATTTAATAATTGTTGCTACTAGGTTTGTGTCAAGGGCAGATCCAGGGGGGGGGGGGGGCATGCCCCCCCCCTTCCGAGAAGTAAATTTTTACAATATATGAGCTTTTTATTCAAAAAAATATGCTAAAAAGGGAATATCTAAAGTCAATGTCTCCCCCCCCCCCCCGAAAATTCGTCTTGGAGTCTCCTTTAGTTTGTGTTATTAATTTTTATTAATATTTATTAATTTTTTTTATATTTATTAATTATTAATAATTATTATTAGTTTTTATTAATTTTTATTAGTTTTCATTAATTTTAATTAATTTTTTTTTTAATTTTTATTATTTTTTATTAATTATTAATAATATTTATTAATTATTATTAATTTTTATTATTTAATTTTATTAATTTTTATTATTTAATTTTATTAATTTTTATAAATTTTTATTAATTTTTTTTTAATTTTTATTCATTTTTATTAATAATTTTTATTAGTTTTTTATTAATTTTTATTATTAAATTTTTATTAATATTTATTAAATTTTAGGTATTTTTAATTAATTTTTATGGTTTTTTATCCATTTCTAATAATTTATATTAACTTTTATTAATTTTTTTTAATTATTAATAATTTTTATTGATTTTTATTAATTTTTATTAATTTTTATTAATTTTTAATATTTAATTTTATTAATTTTTATAAATTTTTATTAATTTTTTTTAATTTTTATTCATTTTTATTAATTTAATTTTAATTAATATTTATTAAATTTTAGGTATTTTTAATTAATTTTTATTAATTTTTATTAATTTTAATTAATTTTTATTAGTTTTCATTAATTTTTATTAATTTTTTTTTAATTTTTATTATTTTTTATTAATTATTAATAATATTTATTAATTATTAATAATTTTTATTGATTTTTATTAATTTTTATTAAATTTTTAATTTTTATTAATTTTATTCATTTTTATTAATTATTAATAATTTTTATTAATTTTTATTATTAAATTTTTATTAATATTTATTAAATTTTAGGTATTTTTAATTAATTTTTATTGTTTTTTATCCATTTCTAATAATTTATATTAACTTTTATTAATTTTTATTAATTTTTATTAATTTTTATTAATTTTTATTAATTTTTATTAATTTTTATAAATTTTTATTAATTTTTTTTAATTTTTATTCATTTTTTTTATTTTTATTCATTTTTATTAATTATTTATAATTTTTATTAGTTTTTATTAATTTTTATTATTAAATTTTTATTATTAAATTTTTATTATTAAATTTTTATTAATATTTATTAAATTTTAGGTATTTTTAATTAATTTTTATTAATTTTTAATAATTTTTAATAATTTTTAATAATTTTTAATAATTTTTAATAATTTTTAATAATTTTTAATAATTTTTAATAATTTTTAATAACTTTTAATAATTTTTATTAATTTTTATTAATTTTTAATAATTTTTGTTACATTTTAATATATTTTATTTATTTATTTAAATCTATTTATTATTCAGTTCCACGATACTTCCCAATTTCCCCCCTCCTTAAAATGTGAAAATCCAAAAACCTTGAAATACGTCATTATTTACTAATAATGAATAGCTACAATTTCAATTTTCAAGTCATACAAACTTCCCCCCTTTTTCCCATTTCTTTCCTATATTTCTCCCCTTTTCCCCTTCAAAAATGAAAATCCAAAATCCCTGAAACACACCATTACTTATAACATACCCATCATTTATTTGTAATGAGTAGCTATAATTCCAATTTTCAAATTCCTACATTTAAAAAACCTTCCCCCCTTTCTACTATTTCTTTCCTATATTCCCCGTCCCCCTTTCTTTCCTTTTCCCCCCGTTTCTCCTTTAAAAATGAAAATCCAAAATTCCTAAAACACATCATTACTTATTTGTGAAAATTCCAATTTTCAAATTCCTACCATTAAAAAAGACGTCATTATTTACTAATAATGAATAGCTACAATTTCAATTTTCAAGTCATACAAACTTTCCCCACTGTCTCCCATTTATTTCATATATTCCCTGTCCGCCCTTTCTTTCCTTTTTCCCCTTTCCCTCCTTTTCCCCTTCAAAAATTAAAATCCAAAATCTCCGAAACATACCATCATTTATTTGAAATGAGTAGCTATAATTCCAATCTTAAAATTTCTACCTATAAAAAATCGATGCCTCCTTAAAAATTTTAACCCCCGTTTCCCCCCTTTAAAATGTGAAAATCTAAACACCCTGAAACACGTCATTATTTATTTATGCTCAATAATTGTATTTTAAATTTCTATATTTCACTACTACTATGCAATAAAATCATGTCCGTAAAAAACAAATCTATCTATCCCACGGGAACCGTATATTATTCCAGGATAAAAACTAGCCTGTGCTTTTCTAGATTATAACCTAGCTTTGTGCCAAATTTCTTCTAAATCCGTTCAGCCGTTCTTGCGTGACTGAACAACAAACATCCATACATCCAAACTTTCGTATTTATATACTAGTAAAATTATTTGTAATAACAAAATAATAAAAATATATCAGAAATAACAACTCTTAAATAAAAAAAAACTGCAATTAAATTCTCATCATGCATTTAAATAGCTTTTCTAATTTTTAATTTCCTATCTGTATACAGATATAAACTTTAATTTAAACACCCGGTATATATAGACGTAAAATTTGATCGGACGGTGGACTTCAATTCAAATTCATATTTTTTTCATAGGGAAATACACCTAAGGTTAGGTTAGATAGATCTAAATAAGACTTATTTAGATCTATCTAACCTAACCTTAGGTGTATTTCCCTATGAAAAAAATACAACAAAAATAAAGCAATGTGTTGGACACATCAGATTTTTTGCACTATAAAGAAAGCACGTAACACACACATGTTTAGATAAAATTAAAGTACTAAATAATATCTACATACCAATGGTACAAATGATGCCTGAAAGACGTATAAACGACGCTTTGGAATTGATATCAAGGTTGCACAAATGCCTGAGATGACTGGAAGCCTGTGCGGCACTGAGTTGATAGGGTAGTACTTGATCACCCATCTGAAAAGACAAAAATATTAAATAAATAAACAGTTATGTAATTATATTAAATATATCGACCTTTTTATCGACATTATTTTCAACATCTTTATCGTAAATCGTATGAAAAACCATTTTTTTACTTTCAATTGATAACCGTTTAAGAAGAAAATGAAAACTGTTTCTAAACGTTACAGACGAACTTGAATTACCCTTGGCTATGAATTCCCCACTACTTATTAATAATTTTTTCCCCACCACAAACATATAATAATTACATTTATAATATTTTCAAGGGATAAATTGTAGTTCTTTTAAAAGTTACAATTCTAATTTTTTCGTATTGATTTTTTTGGAAACCTTAGTAATTAGCCATTTGTTGTGGCTAAAAATAAAACTGTTAATAGTGTGCCAAGTTTATGTAATACCTCAAACATTATAAACTGATAAAATTTGGTGATTTTAAAGGTGTCACGTTTTGTGTTCATTATTAATAATAATTATACGAACTGGTAAGGAAATCTTAAATAAAATTAAGACCCAAACACATTTTGTTGCGTGTATTTAGTATCATATAGATAAGAAATTAACTTTTTATAAATATTAGAAATCATAGTTATATAATTTTTGATCTCTTATTGTTCGATTCGACAAATAATAAGTAAATATTTTGTTTTGTTGTAAAATTAATTAAATTAACGATGTTTGTTTAATCCAAAATTGTGATTTAATGGAATTTAAGTAAGTAAATGTATGAAAACTATAATAGAATCGCAATGGAGTAATTAATAAAAATTGTTTGCGAGTTTTACAGCACAGATGGCTCAAACATAATCCGTGATTTCAAAAAGACGACAGTTAAAAAACCTTAATCCTTTTTAAGACTCTGATGATCGCACGGTTGGGTTATTAAGGGGTATTTATTTGTATTATTTTTTTTCTGTTACTATTTTAAACTTAAATAATTGAAGGGCTTTTTGGAATAATATGAATAAGCCACAATATTAATTTATTAAGCAAACACGTCTTTAAAGATTAAAATAAACTTCTATAACTATTACAACTTTGTTAAAATGCAGTAACTTAAATTATGGTTTTTTTTTTTTGAGAAGTCTTTGTAACTTTATTTTTTACTAGCTATTGCCCGCGGCTTTGCTCGCGACTTTGCTCTCATATAGTCGTGTTATTAATATAAAAAATATATGACTTCCTTTTTTATTAATTTTTATTAGTTTTATTGATTTTCATTCATTTTTTTTATATTTATTCATTTGTATTCATTTTTATTCATGTTTATTAATTTTTATTAATTTTTATTAATTTTTATTAATTTTTATTAATTTTTATTAATTTTTATTAATTTTTAATAATTTTTAACAATTTTTATTAATTTTTATTAATTTTTATTAATTTTTAATAATTTTTAATAATTTTTAATAATTTTTATTAATTTTTAATAATTTTTATTAATTTTTATTAATTTTTATTAATTTTTAATAATTTTTATTAATTTTTTATTAATTTTTTATTAATTTTTTATTAATTTTTATTAATTTTTACCCCCCGTTTCCCCCCTTAAAATGTGAAAATCCAAAAACCCTAAAACTCGTTATTATTAATTTGTACTCATTAGCTGCAATTCCAATTTTCATGTTTCTAACTTCAAAGAGAACAAACAAAGTTTTACTCCCATACAAACTTTTACCCCCGTTTGCCCCCCTCAAGATGTAAAAATTTAGGGTTTCTATAACACATTATTATTAATTTGTACTCAGTAGCTGGAATTCCAATTTTCATGTTTTTAACTTTAAAGAGAACCAAAAACATGAATACTCCCAAATAAATTTTCACCCCCCATTTTCCCCCTTAAAACGTGAAAATCCAAAAACCCTGAAACACGTCATTAATAATTTGTAGTCAGTAGCTGCAATTCCAATTTTCATGTTTCTAACTTCATAGAGAACAAAAAAATCGATAGTCCCTTACAAACTTTTACCCCCCGTTTTCCCCCCCTTAAAATGTAAAAAATCCAAAAACCCTGAAACACGTCATTATTTATTTATGCTCAATAGCTGTAATTTAAATTTTCATGTTTCTAACTTTAAAGAACAAAGAGTTTCATTAAAAGCTCCCTCCCCCCATTTCCTCCCATTTCCCCCCTTTAAAGTTAAAATTTTCAAAAATCCTTTCTTAGTGGATGCTTACGTTATAAAATAAACCTATGTTCCAAAATTCAGCTTTCTAGGCTCAGTAGTTTTGGCTGTACGCTGATAGGTCAGTCAGTCAATCAGTCAGTCAGTCAGGACAAACAATTTTATATATATATATATATTGCCGTAAAGTAAGATTGTTATTATTTTGAAAAGTGTGGCGTATCTTTTTAATAGTCTAAATTTTAAATCTATATTAAAGTTTATTGCAAATAGAGTCATTAATACCTATGACTCCGTCGAAAAATTCGTGAAAGTCTTAAAGAATAAAAGTCAACATATGATTATTAGTGTAAAATATTCCTTAGATTTATTCATTTCTAACAGGTTATCGTTAGATAGATTTTTCTCTAATCAAAACTGGTCATAAACATACAATGTAATTATATATTGTTAGTAAAATTCGTTTTTTGGAAAAACAATCGTGAATGTAAGTATTTGCATGTGAATTATTTGATAGTGTAGTGGTTACCTTATAAGCAAACATGATTCATTTTCGTGAAAAATTGGGCACTCTAAATTGGTGTAATTCTTTCTACTTTCATAATTTAGGTAAAAATTACATTTTTGTTATAATTAAGGTAAATAATAATTCTTTCAATAGTCCCTTAGGACACATAGACCTCACAAAAAAATCAATGTATCATTGAAAACGAACCGGAAGACGAATAACTTCTGTATACAAAGTCGCATTTGTTCTTTTTCTAAGCCAGTTTTAATTTTTCTAAATATGTATTAATTAATTGATGGTGTAATATACAGGTTATTCCATTTAAAAAATTGAGAAAATCGTAAAACCTCGCATTTTGATACACCCTATATACAACATAGCAAATTAATTAAATTAAAATCACCCCTGCAGGGTTTTTTGCTTTAAAAGTGTCAGACAATCGTTTATGGATCACCCTGTATATTTAAGAATTCTTAAATATAATCATACAACTTTTATATTATTTTTTTTTCTTATATTCTGTAATAAAACTGCTATTGATCAATTACGCACTCATGGAACACCCTGTATACGTGTTATTGGCTAACGGCCATATGCACCATTCTTCTGTTAATAGTTATCAGAGAGTTAACTACATAACTGACTGTTAAATTGACAATTTTGTATTCACCATTACAAAATACGACCAACAATCTGTTAAAGGTGTTGTTAATGTAACAAACCAAATTTGGCCTGTTAATTTTATTTATCAGACTATTTTAATTTTACTTGTTTATTTTGAAGGGCTATATAAGGTTTTATAGGATACGAACAGTAATATATACGTAACAGACTGATTTCTTACTGAAACTGGTAAATAGATGGTACATAGATGGTGCATAGCAAATTCTGTTAACACACTGTTATTTTTTATACTACTGTTAGATAACAGAGGACTTAGCTGGACAATGGTGCATATGGCCGTAACACGTTGGTATCGTTGGATAGGTAAATTTATAAGGAATTGTATGCTAAAATAATATACAGGGTGTTGCATTTGAAAAATTGAGTAAATTTAACTTGAAATTAGCTGTATTTAAGACTTGTTTCAAAACACTCTGTATAGAATAATCCAGTTATATCACCACTATTCGTTAGCTTAGTATCTTACGTCTGTATTTTGAACAATTTTGAAGTCATCTCAGGGGTGGTCCTGTATAAATTTGAAAGATTTTGAAGTCGGTTTTTTAAAATTACTGTCATGAAGTCCGACTCTGTCTAAGTACGCAACCGACTCGTGATCGAAGCAAAGCTGACGTCTCGAATGTACAAGAATGCGACGGAATGTCTGCCGCTGATGCACTGGAAGCGGCTGGAACGGCGAGGAGTGCCGTTTAGTCATAGGGGTAGAATCTTCGCGAGCCTCTAGCATTTTCTACTAACCGACTGATAAAATTTGATATCCGATGTTTGCATTTTCGGTTAGACCATGCATTTATTTTCACTTTTTTTATTAATTCAGAATTACACTGCTATTTGCAATGAAAAGTAAAAAAATTATGTGTGCATTTTTGAAATATTAATAACTAAACACAAATTAAACAATAAATGAATAAAAAATCATTTAAAACACGTTGACTGCCTAAGCGAATTTTGTGGTCAAGTCCGCTGAGACGACGTAATTTTTCTATAAATTTCAAGTTAGTTTTTACGTTTTAATAGTAAAGTAATTTAAGTAAACTACAATATCCAATAGAAAAGCGTGGTAGAGAAACTATTTTTTTCTCGTCACAATAATTTTTTTATAAAAAACACCGACTTCAAAACCGTGCAGATGCCGTCACCACATCTTAACCAGATTTATATGAGACCACCCCTGAGGTACCCCCTTACTAACAAAAAAAGTATCATAAAAATCGGACAAGGTGGTAAAGAAGTATAACTAAACAAAATATATTAAAAATGAAGAGTTTGAGGATTTTTCTCATTTCTGAGATTTTGGCCAAATTTATATGGGACCACCCCTGAGATGATTTCAAAATTGTTCGAAATATAGACATAAAGATACTTAACTAACGATTAGTGGTGATAGAACTGGATTATTCTATACAGAGTGTTTTGAAACAAGTCTTAAATACAGCTAATTTCAAGTTAAATTTACTCAATTTTTCAAATGCAACACCCTGTATATTATTTTAGCATACAATTCCTTATAAATTTACCTATCCAACGATACCAACGTGTTAGCCAATAACACGTATACAGGGTGTTCCATGAGTGCGTAATTGATCAATAGCAGTTTTATTACAGAATATAAGAAAAAAAAATAATATAAAAGTTGTATGATTATATTTAAGAATTCTTAAATATACAGGGTGATCCATAAACGATTGTCTGATCAAACCTATACATTTTTAAAGCAAAAACACCCTGCAGGGATGATTTTAATTTAATTAATTTATGTTGTATATAGGGTGTGTCAAAATGCGAGGTTTTACGATTTTCTCAATTTTCTAAATGAAGTAACTTGTATAATATACCACCAATTAATTAATGCATGTCTAGAAAAATTAAAACTAGCTTATGTGCGGGGAAATATATAAAAAAAAAGGCGAAAAATGTGATTACAAGCCAATTTTCTTACTTTTTAATATAAATAAAATATTTGAAGCAGAATTGATACCTTCTTAGAAAGTTTTATCAAAATGTCAGTGGATTTAGAAAGGGAAAAGCTCTGAAAACAATTACTGAATTCTTAAATAAAAATCAAAAAACGTCTGCCTTGTCTAGACCTATCTAAAGCCTTTGCTAGTGTTTTTCACAACATTCTATGTAGAAAACTGGAGTTATTGGGAATTATATATACCATTTACTCATTAAACAATGCGTCACAGATTTTGATGATAACAATATTAAATCTATATACAAAAAGATGTGCCACAGAGTTCCATATTGGGTCCTTTAGATACATTGTA